GGATCAGGTGAAGGGAGGTCAGGTGGAGGAGGGATCAGGTGGAGGAGGGATCAGGTGGAGGGAGGTTGGAGGAGGGTCAGGTGAAGGGAGGTCAGGTGGAGGGAGGTCAGGTGGAGGAGGGATCAGGTGGAGGGAGGTCAGGTGGAGGAGGGATCAGGTGGAGGAGGGATCAGGTGGAGGGAGGTCAGGTGGAGGAGGGATCAGGTGGAGGGAGGTCAGGTGGAGGAGGAATCAGGTAGAGGGATCAGGTGGAGGAGGGCTCAGGTGGAGGAGCGATCAGGTGGAGGAGCAATCAGGTGGAGGGGGGCAGGAGGAGAGGTCAGGAGATAGGGGTCAGGTGGACAGGGGATGGTAGAAGGGGGCAGGGTCCCCTCCTCTGAGCCCAGGGGGATTTAGGGACAGGGATGAGTGGCCGTGGGGTGGTCAGACCTTGAGGACAAGGGACCAGGCAGGGGCTGAGATCAAAGGCGGCAGCAGAGATGTCTCCTAGACTTAGGGGACAGGGTCTCCCAGGGTTCAGGTCTCCTAGACCTGAGGGTCAAGGTCTCCTGGAGGTCAGGGTCTTTCTGGGGTTTCATTAATGTTCCTGGGTCTTCTTCAGTGGCCTGAGGTCTGGAGTCAGTGTCTGCCCAAAGAGCAGCAGAGGCTGAGAGTGGGTACAGCAGGTGGCTGGCATGTGCTGGGGACCCAACCCTGCGCCTCAGGCTGCCCAGGATTCCTCCCAGGTGACAGCTGCTGGGTATGGGGGGGGCGTGCTGAGTGTTCCCACGGAGGGCCTGACTGCTGAGTGTCCCCACAGTGTGCCTGAGTGCTAAGTATCCCCATAGTGTGCCTGAGTACTGTCCCCGTGGTGGCTGAGTGTCCCCACGGAGGGCCTGAGTGCTGTCCCTGTGGTGGCTGAGTGCTGAGTATCCCCACAGTGGCTGAGCGTCCCCACAGTGGGCCTGAGTGCTGAGTGTCCCCATGGAGGGCCTGACTGCTGAATGTCCCCACAGAGGGCCTGACTGCTGAGTGTCCCCACAGTGGGCCTGAGTGCTGAGTATCCCCATGGTGGCTGAGTGTCCCCAC